TCAGCATATCTTTCAAACGTCTCGATTGAAAAAAAATTGTCAACAACCACGAGATGATTATAAAGAGCTTCTTGAATTATATCTAATATATTTAGGAGAGCAACCTCCTAGTGGAATAAGATTTAAAGCACCTGGAGCCTTCCATCATGCTCGGTGGATGGCAAAACTTATTTATTCAGTTAAAATATGGTTATTTAGAGATCAGTTTAAAATGGTGCAACATGAATTAAACGCAGTAAGAGATATTAGCATGTTTGCTGCGTTAATATACGTTCGACAGTGGTTTACTGCACCACTCAGTGCCTCGGCCCCATTTAATGATTTAGATTTTCTAAAAAATATTGAGGAATATCATGAAATGAATGAAAATATAGCGACCGCTGCAACCAAGGCAATGAAGTGGCATCTATGGTATTTAAGTGAAGAACTTATATCTTTGCCCTTTTTTAGTGATGATGTAGAGATTGAAGTTAAAAGAAAAATGATAACTGCCCTTCAGCGTCAATGCGTAGACAATAATAGGCCACCAAAGAAATTAGCAGATATTACAAATGTAATGAGTAAATCCCTCGAGGACTTTGTAACGTGTAAACCACTTTCATTTTTTAATTTCTTAAATATTGACATTTCCTTTCTTGAAGAGGATCCTTCAAACTGGAAAAACAATGAGTCATATGCTGACTCTAAAGAAGTAGTGAAGTCTCTTAAAGTTGTTAATGATTGCGCCAAAAGAGGGGTGAAGTTAGTACAAGACTTTAATGCTGTCTTAACAAAAGATGAAGAGCAGCAAAAGTATGTGCTACATTTAGTTGCAGAAAACAGGGCTGTCTTACCAGATGCAAAAAAATCAACATTGAGTGCTAAACAAACCAGGCGACAATGAGCAGCTGTTGTTGTTTAATGTTGTTTAATAAAAATTATTATGCGTAATAAGAGCTTTATATTCGTTTTTATTTTATTAAAATCGAACGGTAAATAACCGAAATGTGCACAGAAAACGAAGGTCAATATTTTACTAAACTTTTGAAAATTCCGATTTTAGAGGGGTATAAAGATTGCCCCAGCACGACCTCTAAATATTAACCGATTTAGCTGATTTTTTTGGTACAATGTTTTTTTTCATAAATGAACACATTTAGACCTTAGGAATAAAAAAATTAAAAAAAAGTTTTTTTGGATCACCCTAATATTTGTATTTTTAATCAAGATTTTTTATTTTATTATTACAATGCAATGTGGAAAGGTGTTAAATGAGAAAGAAAAAGCGAAAATTGTTGCATACAAAGATATGGCTTTGCTAAATCAACAAATTGCAAAGAAAATTAAAAGGTCTTATCATGTAGTGAACAATTTTATAAACTTAGGTAAAAAAAATTACAACAAAAATCACTTCAAGGGCGGAAATAAAAAAACAACCAAAAGACAACATTTTTCCATTTTGCGTTTGGTGTCATTCGGACTACGAACAGCAAAACAAATAAGGACTGAACTTGAATTACCTGTGACTACAAGACGTGTCCCACAAATTTTGTTAAAATCAAGACAATTCTAATGAAAAAGAATGATCACAAAACCACCATTGACAATAAAATATAAATGTGCAGGATTCAAGTTTGCAAAGGCCCACATGACATGGGATACAGAATAGGAAAATGTTATTTTTTCCAACAAAAAAAAGTTTAACTAAGATAGGTCTGATGGTTTTAAGTATTATTGGCATGATTTTAAAAAAAAAAATAGCAAAGGAGAGACAGTTATGGTGTGGGCTGCATTTTGTTTCCACGGCAAAATTGCAATATGTTTTATTACAAAAAAAATGAATGCAAGAAATTACTTAGATCTTTTAGATGTTTTAATAGAGTTTAGTGAAGGTTTACCTACTGAGAACTGGATTTTCCAACAAGATAATGCAGCGACTCACACAGCACAAAGTATAAAAAAGTGGTTCCAGGAAAAAAATGTAAATGATTTGGATTGCTTATTATGTTAACCTGACTTGAACCCTATTGAAAATTTATGGGGAATATTGGCACAAACTATATATGGAAATTCTCGACAGTATACAGGAGGGAGCTAATAGGAATTATCATAAGAAAGGTTTTTAGGTTAGTAAGGAATAGGTAAATTGAATTTACTGAAGTGCATATATATATATATATATATATATATATATATATATATATATATATATATATATATATATATATATATATATATATACATATATACATATAAGTTGAATTTACTGAAGTGCATATATATATATATATATATATATATATATATATATATATATTATATTTATATATGCACTTTGGTAAATTCAACTTACCTATTCCTTACCAATCTAAAAACCTTTCTAACGATAATTCCTATAAGCTCTCAAAAAAGTCTGTATATATTATAGAGTAACTCCTTTGATCAGACTTCTGAGTGACATCATCCTAATGAATCATTAACTTATTATTATAAATTTTATTTTACTTATTAGAGTGCAGCGATTATTTGTTTATCAAATATTGATGTACAAATATTTGTTAGAGAATATTCAGTTAAATCATTCCTAAAGAATGTTTGTAAAAACTAATTGTTTAAATTATTCACAGGGTATGAATATATGTAAACCTATATTTAATGTAAACCTATATTTGTTTAATATATAATAACTGTTTAACAAATATATCTTTGTCGAACAAATTAAGGAGAACGAATATATATATTGATTTACTTTTATTCGCTAAAAAAATAAATATTTGTTCAATGAATAACTATATATTATTGCTGAACTTAATAGTAGTAGTAGTATTAATGTTTATTTGTGCGTGTTTGCACAAAACCCACGGTAACCGTTAAATTCGAGATAATAGAGTTTCACAAGATTTTTTTTTATAAGAAAATTTGAACAAAAGTTAATGCAAATATCTAACTCATGTAAATTTTTAGATATGGAAACAAAAGTTTCTTAAAATTTTACAATTTTACTTTTCACGTTTCTACAAAAGTTTAGTTCGCTTATAGAAAAGGAAAATGTAGTATGTATATATATTTAGAATACAATAATCTATAAAAATAACTATGAAATTTTTTATGCAATGCATTGCTTTTTAAATAATAAAATTTTTTTAGAAAAAGCAAGCTGATGATGAACTTGCCACACAGCGACCTTAAATTTTTCAAGACCAATAAGGTGGTTTTAAAAAGTATTTTTTTTATGCATCAAGATTGAAAAAAAAAAGTACAAGTGTTAGAAAAACAGCATATAAAAAGAAGACAGAGCAACCATTTTAGCCTTTTTAAAAAATTTTAAAACATACAAGTCATCATGACATCATTAAAGACGTAAAATGCACACCTCATTTCATTAAAGTTTTAATTAAACACCTCATTTAAGAGTTAAGTGTCCCTTTTTATGCCTAAGTTTATAAACGGAAAAAAATATTTTTCAGCTTTTTTTTTTATTTCTGGTACTTTTCATAATATTTAATAACATAATTGTTATATTATTCATTGTTATTTAATGATTAATTACAAGTTTAATCACATTTTGTTGTAATTATCACAATTTTTTACTGTTACTTAATATAATAAGTAAGAAAACATTACTTATTTGGTTGTTTGTAATTAAAAAGTAATATTTACTCCCTTACTAAATACTATATCATGTAATAATTATATAAACAACATTTTTAAATTAAATTAAACATTAGCAAGATAACTTTACAGGTAAATTTTTTTATTCAATTTATTCCTTTAAATAAATCAAATTTTAAAGGAATAAATTTAATAAAAAAATGGTTACCAAGGGCTATTTCAAACAAAATTAACTTTTGAAAATAGTACTTTTTGAGCTTTCATTTTCAAAAATTCCAACCTGATATCTTTAATATTTATATCAGCGGCAATTTTATTTTCAATGGAAATCATTGCAAGAAAATTGAAGAAGATTGCAAGAAGATTGTTTATCGCAAGAAGGTTGTTTAACTTGTCCTGGCCCATCATTTAATTTTAAAAAAGATCTCTCAGTGCAAGCTACTGTTATTGGTAATGTAAGATGAATCCTCAATGCAATAGGTACATTTGTGTAGATTTCATTCAAATTGTTGCGTACAAACATTTTATAACATTTTCAGGATGCAAATTTTCAGTAAAGTGAGAAAAAAGAGACGTTAATTCAAAGATTAGTTCCTCGCCAGAAAATCATTTTTTCCATTTTCAGATAGTTTTATTTCAATGCGATGCAATCAGATTTTAAATCATCTTCTTTATCTGTCAAAAGCTTTTATTATCAAATAAAAAGCTAAAAAGTGCAATTCCAGCTTTTATTGCAACAGTAGCACATTGTTGCACTAGAACACAACAGAAGCTGATTGAAGTTGTTTTCTAGCTAAATTAATTTAGAATAAAACTTTATACCAAATTACAATCGAAGACAAAAAATCTAAGCTTGTTGATTTTAAAGCAATAGGCTCTGCTGTGATTTTTGCACTTGTTTTATTAGAAGTCTTGGCTGCATGTTGGCTTTATAATTTTTTTGCATTTTATATCGAAGAGTTTTTAAAGCATTTTCCATATCACTAGCTACATTTATTTGTAACATGTACTTTTTATTTATCTGTACTCTAAAATGAAATTAGTTTAGGACGAAATTTATAATAAAAAAAAATTATAAAATATATTTATATTGGTAAAAGTAAGTTTTGAATTTTAAGATTAGTAACCATATTTATTATTCTTATATATATTTCATATAATTCTCTCAAAAAATATTTGCTTGATTTCTGATGTTCAGTTAGGTTAATAACTAACCTAAAATAACTGATAAAGAAAAAAAAATTAAGTATACAATTGAGAGAAAACTTTTGCTTTATATTTAGTTTTAGTTTTTTCTGAAAGATAAGAAATATTTTTAATTTTTTTAACTTTTTATAACCTTTTTTTTATAACTTTATAAATTTTCTACTTCTTACAACCTATTTAACCTATTATTTAAAGGTATTTACCTTAAAACAACCCTGTGACCATGTTTTAAATGCATCTTCTTGACCACAAAGTTCATCTCCTTCTCCAATCGGGTATATCTCTTTACCACCAAGAGTTTTGAGTAGATTATTGATAGACTTAGCAAATGCACAAAAATTTGGATAAGCTTTTGAACCAAGACCAAACACAGAAAAACTAAATTAATCAAAAAGAAATACTAAACATGATGGCATGACAACATGTTTATATATATATATATATATATATATATATATATATATATATATATATATATATATATATATATATATATATATATATATATATATATATATATATATATATATATATATATATATATACATATATATATATATATATATATATATATATATATATATATACATATATATATATATATATATATATATATATATATATATATATATATATATATATATATATATATATATAAATCACTATTAAATTGGGTATATTAAATATATAATTTAATATACCACTATTAAATTGGGAGTTACTAGAAAATATAAAGAGTAGAGTTTAAGAGCAAAGAAACTGTTGACAGAAGACTTGAAAAGTTGTATGAGTCAGGAAAACATGAAGATGGGGGAAGCATCTAAAGGGTTGAAGTGAGGAGAAAAAAACTCTGTGAAAAAAAGTTTTTAGACCATACAGGGAAAGATACATTAACAGGATGAGACTTTGTTGAATGACAAGTCAAGCAAGAATAAATTTTGGTTGATGGAACTAAAGATGATAGGTCCTTGAGCAGCAACATGTATTTGAAAAGAGAAAGAGAAATAACGCTATCACAATGCGAGGGAGGCTCAAGCTGGATAGATAGAGCAGGTCCTATTGCATTTATAATGCATTTTTGGACCTTGTCTAGAAAAGAAAGAGCATCATTAGAAGAACCAGTCCAAAGTCCTTCGTGTCGATTTCAAGTCAAGCCGCATTTTACTCCATGGATTTCTCCTTCTTGTGCGGCTGCTATATCCAATCGTAATCATTTTTTTCATCTTTTTCAAAAGAACAACTCTCTTGAGAACAAACGGCTATTTATTATTGCAAGAAATCTATGTAAAAAAGGTGCTTTCTGATGCTAAACTCCATTATTCTCAGTTCACTAAATCTTGCATCTTATCGCAGAAGTTAGGCTCTAAAGACTTTTAGAAAATTTTCAACAGCATTATTAACAAGGGTAGATCTAACATTCCATCTCTCATTCATGGAACTGATCTTATTACCTCTCCCAAGGATAAGGCAGAACTATTTGCAAAGAACTTTTCTTCTAATTCCACTCTTGAATCTTAAAGACATTCTCTTCCTTCCATTCCAGTCAAACAGGTTGACCCATTGTTAGACATTCAAATCGCTTCTGTTGCTAAAGTCATATCTCAATTAAACTTGTCTACAGCTTGTGGTCCAGACAACATTCCTGTCACAGTCTTGCAGAATTGTTCTCCAGAACTTTCTTCAATTCTCTCTAAACTATTTAACAAGTGTTTGACTGAGTCTTGTTTTCCTGCTTGTTGGAAAATGGCATCTGTGGTTCCAATATTCAAAAACTCTGGAGAAAATTCTGACCCCTCCAATTATCGTCCAATCAGTCTTCTTTCTGTTATTAGCAAGATCTTTGAGTCTTTGATCAACAAATTCCCCACATCTCATCTTGAGTCAAATAAACAACTGTCAGACAATCAATACGGTTTTTGATCCTCTCGCTCTACGGCCGACTTGCTAACTGCTGTAACTGAAAGATTTTATCGTGCATTAGATGGAGGCGGTGAGGCTAGGGCTATTGCTCTCGACATATCTAAAGCTTTCGACAAATTTTGGCATGCTGGTCTTCTACATAACCTTGCTTCATATGGTGTTTCTGGAAAAGTTTTTGAGATTATCAAATCATTTCTTTCTAACCGATTTATTAAAGCCATCCTTGAAGGCCAACACTCTTCTTTATTTCCAGTAACTTCTGGGGTTCCCCAAGGTTCCATCCTGGGCCCTGTTTTGTTTCTTATCTACATAAACGATCTTCCTGACAACCTTTTAACTAAAGTAGCTCTTTTTGCTGATGACTCAACTTTATACTCCTGTCTTGACAAAAAGTCTTCTCTTTTCGGTCGCCTAGAACAAGCAGCTGATCTTGAATCCGATCTCACTTCAGTAATAGATTGGGGTTCACAGTGGCTTGTGAATTTCAATTCTAACAAAACCCAGTTGTTTACTGCAAACAACTACCATAATATGGTCAACATTCCTATATTAATGAATGGCAATCCTCTTACTGAGTCCTCCTCTTTACGTCTTCTTGGATTATCGCTTACTACTGACCTTTCATAGAAACCATATATACAATCGATTGCTAAATTAGCTTCTGCTAAGGTTGCTTCTCTTTATCGTGCTCGCCATTTCCTTACTTCTGATTCCATTCTCTACCTCTACAAATCTCTTATATGTCCCTGTATGGAATACTGTTGTCATATTTGGGCTGGTTCTTCTAACGATTCACTTTCTCTTCTTGACAAGGTCCAAAAACGCATTGTAATTGTTGTTGGACCTGGACTATCTGCTAAGCTTGAACCTCTTTCCCATCGTCGTAAAGTTGCATCTCTTTCTCTTTTCTACAAATACTATCATGGTCACTGTTCAAAGGAGTTATCATCTCTAGTTCCATCAACTAAATTTCATTCTCGTTTTACTCGTCATTCAACTAAGTCTCATTCGTTTACTGTATCTGTCCCTGCATGCTCTAAAAACTTTTATTTATCTAGTTTTTTTCCCCGCACTTCAATCCTTTGGAACTCTCTCCCATCTTCATGTTTTCCTGACTCATACAACCTTCAACTTTTCAAGTCTTCTGTCAACCGTTTCCTTGCTCTATAACTCTTTTTTTTTCCTTAATAGTCTTTTTTTTTCCTTAATAGTGGCTGCTTGCAGCCTTGTTGGGAGTGAATGCAAATAAAAAAATAAAATAAATATGAAAACAGAATTTCATACAAGAGCAAATAAGAGATTGATAGAGGTAAAGAATGGAATCATGAGTAAAAAAATGGCAAGCACAATAAAGAGGAGTTTAATAACAATAATAAGTAATCATAATAGTTATAATTTACTTATTTTCTTATTTTTTAAAATAAAATGAAATGAAAATATTACAAAATAATATCACAAATAAACTTGTTAAAGGTTGTGATATTATTTTGTAATATTTATCTGCTCTGATTTTGATTGTACATATAGTTTTCATGAAAGGTCAGTAGTAAACCATAAAAAGGTCAGTAGTAAACCATAAAAAGGTCAGTAGTAAACCATAAAAAGGTCAGTAGTAAACCAAAAAAAGGTCAGTAGTAAACCATAAAAAGGTCAGTAGTAAACCAAAAAAAGGTCAGTAGTAAACCATAAAAAGGTCAGTAGTAAACCATAAAAAGGTCAGTAGTAAACCATAAAAAGGTCAGTAGTAAACCATAAAAAGGTCAGTAGTAAACCATAAAAAGGTCAGTAGTAAACCATAAAAAGGTCAGTAGTAAACGATAATCCAAGAAGACGTAAATAAGAGGACTCAGTGAGAGGGTTATTAGATTATTAGGGTTATTAGGGTATTCATTAATATGAGAATATTGACAGTACTGCAATAGTTGTTTGCAGTAAATAACTGAGTTTTGTTGGAGTTAAAACTAAGCGATCAAAATTTTTTAATTGGAAGGAAGAGAATGGCCATAAGTGGCCTTTTAGAGTTGAATTAAAAGAGAATGGCCATAAGTTTCTTGAGTTGAATTAGAAGAAAAGTTCTTTCCAAATAGTTCTGCCTTATCTTTGGGCAAGGTAAGTATAAGATCAGTCCCATAAATGAGAAATGGAATGTCAGACCTTCTAAATATAATTATAATAATTATATTTAAAATCTTTTGTTGATGGAATATATCTCTTCCCATGATCAAGAAAACTTTTTTTTTTGTAAGTTCATTAAACTGTTTCCCTTGGTTTGTTCATTAACTTCATCATATAAGAGTGATAAAATGATAATTCTTCTAACAAGTACCAAAGATGTTGACGAAACTCATTCAGGGTTGCTTTGAAGATTTATCAACAGGTTCCTTAAACTTCTTTAAAAAACACAAATCATGATTTGGTGCTTTTTTCCATCTTCACTACATCCAAGTTCTCTGGCTCTAGGTCTCTTTAATTTTGTAAAAATATTTTATCTTCTTTCATTTTCATCTGTTCCACTATTTCTTGTTGTATTGAAATTGAGAAAACTACATCATCTAGTACTTTTAATTTTAATTTTGTCTAAATAATTATTCTAAAATGCCATTGTTAATTACAAAACTGTACTTTAAATAAGTCAAATGTTCATTAAAATAACCCCCAAAAAAGGGAAAAATAGTATATTATTTGTGAAAAATAATCATTTAATACACCCTAATGTTAATGTTTTACACTTAAAGGAAAAGTTAAAAACTCCAATCAACCTGAGGAGGCTCTAGATATAATAATGTATGATACATGTCATCATCTAGATTCTTATTTATAAAAAAAAATTATGTTAATAATGTTCAATTTTATGTATATTGTACATTATATGTTTATATATAATATAAACATATGATGAACATAAACATATAATGTATATTGTCACAATATCAAAGAAATTAACTACATTAAGTACAAATAAATAAAAAAATAAAGAAAATACCGTCTTAACAACTAATGACCACACTTAAAATGACTATCTGTGCAATCATAACCACCTAAAGATCATCTATATAACCAGATTTGAAAATACCCAACTTCAAAAAACTATTGGGACATCTCAGGACTACCCTTGACCACCTCTAAAATGACCAACTGTATGGTTATGCCACTCCCAGAGACCAAATATGCGTAGCTTTAAATTACCCTATCTCAATTACTTGAATATTCAATCGTTATCTTGCTCTACAATCTTCATCTTTTCTCTTCCAGTAACTTCCAACACTAATTAGTGGTTGCTTGCAGCCTTGTTGGAAGCGAAGATGTTTAAAAAAAAAAATATCCAGATGATTTTTCAATTAGATGTTCCATCTAATTGAAAAATCATCGGGATATTCAAGGACCACCTTTGACAACCTCTAAAATGACTATTTGAATGGTCATGATCACTTGTAAAGACCAAATATATCCAGATTTGAATTCCCTGACCACAATTACCTACATTTAGGCATACAACATGTCCCAAATAACTTAAAAACTATCGAGACACTCCATGACCACTCTTTACAACTGCTAAAATTACCACCTGGGTGATTATGACCACTCCAAACATAAAATGGAGGCTGAAAATGAATTCCTTGGGCTTAAAAACCCCTATAAACATGTATCATGTCTATATTTAACCCATTAACAGTTTTTCAACTTTTAAACAATTCTTGCCCACTGTGCATGGTGAAGACCTACAAGTTTTTTTACACAGTTAGGTATAGCTTTGGTTTCAATTAAACTTCATGAATCTAAAAAAAAAGTACTGCAAGACTGCAACATTGCACCTGTTATTCATGCCTCTAACTAAGAAAATACTTTTTTTACTGCTTCCTAATTCCACTGCCATCTTTTAAATGTAAAACAACATGTGTTAGCAATTCAGTTGTAGCAATTAGAAGTTAGCAAGTCAGCTATATAGTGAGAGGATCAAAAACTGAGTGGATTGTCTGACAGTAAGTTATTTGAATCAAAATGGAATACTAGAAATTTTTTTCTAATAATCCTTTTTTTAATACATTTACCAAGTGATACTAAACATTATGGTGTTCTTGATCATTTATCAGTCTAGTTCCTAGGGAACTTAAAGAAATTAGTTCGCAAGCCTCAAAATTTAACTGGTCAAGTAGTATGCCCATTTATTGAAGGGCACTACAACATTAAAGATAACACTTCTAATAAAAAAAGAGCCAATGTTGAAGAAAATTTATTAAGATAGTCCAATACCTATTGAATATAAACTGATATCCGGTTTAAACCATGCCATGGATTTGAATACTTTATTTTCACATTAATTGGAAATAATTGCTTTCAGATTGAAAGTAGGCTAAGGATTGCAAGATATATTCTACATAACTCCACTTTCTCTGAACTAAAGCTTTAGTGTTTGAAAATTTTGAAAATACAGAAAAAAAAATTCAAATTTTTATTAAAATTATTTTCAAATTATTTTAATATTTCTATAGTATACAGTGTGAATTCTTTTCAAGTTATTTTAATATTTCTATAGTGTACAGTTTTTACTGTATCTTTCCTTGCATTAGTTTTTTCTCCTCACTTCAGCCCTTTAGAACCCTCCCCCATCTTCATATTTCCTGACTCATACAACTTTTCAAGTTTTCTGTTAACAGTTTCTTTGCTCTTAAACTCTACTCTTTATATTTTCTAGTAACTCCCAATTTAATTGTGGTTTCTTGCAGTAGCATTTATGTTTTCTAGTAACTCTAATTTAATAGTGGCTACTTGTAGCCTTGTTGGAAGTGAATCATAATTTTTTTTTAAAATGTGTTAATCATGAGAATCAAGACTTTCTAAAAGTGCAGAAAACAACTTTTACAATGACACAAACTGATATTTATCAATTATTATCAAACTATCAATTATCAAGATAACAATTATCTATTTACAATTTTTAATTTGGCATCATTTTAAAAACTCCTTTGAAAGTATTCGCCTTTTAAAATACACTGATTAAACTAAGAATAAATGACAAAATGATTTAACTAAGAACAAATAAAAACTTCTGCACAACTTGTATAAACATAATTCAATGCAAGTCGTCACTGGTTATCATATTCCAAATAAGGAAAAAATTTATTTTCAAGCGTTTTAAAAGCAACTAAACTAAACAGAGTTCATAGTCATAAGAGAACTAAATATTTATAAATAACAAAGATTTAATTTAAAGTAGTTATTTAATTATTTTTTTTGTTTAATTTTTTTTAATCACATTTTTATTATAGGTTTTTTTTTTTATTATTTATTTTTATTATCATTTTCTTTAAAAATAAATGTAATACTTAGTTGTTTTTTTTAAAAACACCTTCACTTCTAACAAAGCTGCAAGCACTATTATAAAGTTAGAAGTTACTAGAAGAGAAAAGATGAAGTTTAAAAAGCAAGATAACAATTAACAGACAACTTTAAGGTTATAAATAAATACAATATTTAGGTATTTCTTTTATTTAAATATTTATCTTTATTCTAATTATAGAATATAAGATATTTAAACTACTGTTTGTAAAAATATTTTTAAAACAAAATTTTACAGAATTTAAATTAAATTATACTACCTATAATACATACATACACAAATGCATACATACATACATACATACATACATACATACATACATACATACATACATACATACATACATACATACATACATACATACATACATACATACATACATACATACATACATACATACATACATACATACATACATACATACATACATACATACATACTATGTATGTATATATATATATATATATATATATATATATATATATATATATATATATATTATAAATAAACTCTTTTAAAGTTGTCAGTATAAAGTATACATGTATATATACATATAAAAACATTTAAATAAATTTTTTTAAACAAACTTTTGTTTAAGTAACATACAGAATGTGAAAACTTTCATCAAATAAAGAAAATTGTGAAGTGTGTTGGTGTTGTGAAGTGTTTGTTCCACAAATAGTTTTCATACTGAAACATAAATTGAAAATTAGTTAAGAACTATAATTAAAAAAACATACATAGATACATACATAGATACATACATAGATACATACATAGATACATACATAGATACATAGATACATACATACATACATATATACATACATACATACATACATACATACATACATACATACATACATACATACATACATACATACATACATACATACATACATACATACATACATACATACATACATACATACATACATACATACATACATACATACATACATACATACATACATACATACATATTTTAAATACACCAGTGTAGTAAAATTCCAATTAAAAAAGAAAATGGAGCTGTGTGATCATTACCTTATTGATTATTATACTATATGAATTGATTGGCAGGGATAACAACATAAAAAATTAACATAAAATGTGAAATAAAATATGGTATATCAGTAAAATTTGAATTTTATTACTTACTTTTCAGATGGATAAGCCATTTCATACAATTTTTTACCAAAAGCCTGTAAAATACCATAGTAATACTGTAATTATAAAATAACAAGTGATTACATTGTGTAATAATGTAATTTTAAACAAGGTTAAAACAAAATTTTATTATTTAACAAAAGAAAAGGTTTTAAATAACAACATATATATAATAATAAAAAAATATCTACCACTATTTAACATATATTACAAAACCTTATTAGTTCCATTTCTAATTTTTTTAAATTATTCAGCAAACTTTTTTGGAAACATATCCAAAATAAAAAAATAACCTATAAAATTACTGTTTACCCCCAACATTGAACAAAAAATCTCAACTTAATAATTAATATGATTTCCTTTTTTTAACTTGAAAGTTCTGTCATTTTAATAAATACTAATAACTATATCAGTTAAAATATAGTTCTGTCATTTTAATAAATACTAATAACTATATCAGTTAAAATAAAACCTGGCCATTTTCAGGACCTTCGCCATTTCCGGTTGTACTTGCAACAACAAATATGCAATTTTCATTTTTAAAATCTTCAAAATCGTATTGATCCATGCAAACTACTTTTGAATTAAAGGCATTTTGTAAAAGTTCTTGTAAGTTATAAGCAAAAGACTCTGCTCTGCCTGTTTCACTTGCATATAAAATTGTGATTTTTTGACATTTGGTTACTAAATGACTTGTCATATTTGTGGCCAATTTAACCAAACTAAAATTTAAACAAAATAAAAATAAAGATTTACTGCAAACAGAACACTTATCTTTTTTTTTTAATTTTATTTTCAATGGAAAATACTTTGTTTGAATGGGTTTTAAGTCATTATCTCATTTAAATATGACAATATTGAATAGTTTTTTACAAACTTTTTTCAAATGTTTTTTACAATTGTATGGCATTAATCTGTTTTGTAGATTACGGACAATTAAATTGGAGGTTATATATTAGAGTTTTCATTCTCCTATTTGCTATTCACTGTTTTAAAGGCTTCACTTGCCCCAATAAAGGATTAGTTTAATTCCATGACCAGGACATAGTCTAATTTAAATAAAAAGTAATTTTATAAACTAATAAAAAACTTTACTTTGAATTTTTTTTGAATTTGTGATTATTTGTACTTAATTGACTCATCCATGCATCAGCCTGATACTCGTAAGCTGGTTTTAATTTATAATTGAGCATTTCCTGAAAATAAACATAATTTATATTTTTTACATTAATATAGATTTTTAAAAATAAAATATAGCATTAATCAGAAAAATATTTTTACAATAATTGTTTTCCACCAATATGTGTTGTTCTACAACAAAATCAAGTTTAATTTCATGAAAAAAAATCAAGTTTAACTTCAGGAAGAAACCAATTTTATATGCTTTATGAAAAAAAAAACAAGTTTATATATTTCATGAAAAAAAATTTATTACTCTAAAAAAATTTAGAATATTTCTAGGCTCTCTAAAACAATTACAAATTTGATCCTTATAAATAGGTTAAGATATCATAAATAAGATTTTATTTTTCAGAAATTTTGACTAAAAAGATTTGATGAAAAGTAAAGAACATTAGCAAAACTTAACTTTTGAAAATGATAATTTTTAACTCTCTTGACATAAGTTTTCAAAGTTAGAAATGTGAGACCATAAAAAAAATATATGACAATGTGAGACTATATAAAAAGACCTTATATATTTAAAATTTTTGAAATCTAAAACATGATTTATGATGTTCCCGAAAAATTTTCTAGAAAAAGATTTTTATTAACCTTAAAACAATTATTTAGTAAATTTTATTTTATTTAGAAAAAAAATTGAAATAAAAAACAAAACTTTTTTTACTACCTGGTGGAATACAGGGCATATTGATCCAGAAAGTGGTGGAACTATCCACACCCAGTCAGATGGGCAACCACCACGCAATTTATTCTACGATTGATAAATTTAGTTTCACATCATTTTAAAAAAAATCAAAAAAAATGCCAACTTATAAATTTCTATAAACTTACAGTAGTAGAAATAAATTGATTATGTACTCATTAGTACAAATTAACATAAAGATAATTTATTAAAGTAAATTTGAATTAAATATTTTTTACTTCTTTATGAAGATGTTTTATGAAAGATTCAGCCAAACTGTGATGATCTACCATGGTCACACCTGCTGCCTGAAAAAAAAAAAAAAACGCAAAGTGAAGATTGAGCAGAAATTAAAATAATCAAAATTTTAAAACTATTTTCTTGCATGCGAGCATATGAACGCAACATAAGAATTTTTTATATCAGCAATATAAATAATATAATAAATAATGTAATATATATATTATATATAATTATTAATATTAAAATACTTGATAACTATGTAAGACAGCAGCTGTTAGTTCTAAGACTGCTCGATCTTTCCATAAGGACATGTGGGTAGATGTATTGTATCCCAATAATTCCGCTGTAGGCTAAAGAAAATTAAACCTTTTAATTCCAGATTGTTCAATTTATTAAGTTTTTTTAACTTTTTTTTTTTTTCTATAATGCTCTTTTTTTTATAAAACATTTTATTTTTCTATAATGCTCAGTCATTTGTGTAGGGTAAGGTGGGGCAAGAAGCCCACCATAAGCAATTTCGTCTTTTTTTTACTGATCCAATAAACGTATCTAGAAATTCATGTTACCATTATTTCAGATACATAATAAACTTAAGTATCTAAAGTTATTTTCTTAATGGCTACTCAAGTTTTAATGGAAATATGCTTTTTATAAACTGCTATAGAGTGGGCCTTTTGCCCCATTGCTGGGGCAAAACGCCCCTACCCTGGGCCTTTTACCCCAAACATTAATAGCTTGAAATATTCCTTTTTTACAATAAAAATTTATTGCAACAATACACTTTTTACTAGTCACAATATATTTGTGTGTAAAAATGTCCAACAAAAGTTTTAGTAGAACACTTAGCACCATAATATTAGCAAGTAGCACCATATATGCTATCATTTGACAATGGCAAACAGCACCGTAAAATTAATAGAGCTAAAAAGAGCTAAAAATTTATAGACTAAAAAGATAGCTATAAAAACTAATTTATAGAGCTGAAAAACACAGCTAAAAGCTAATTCATAGAGCTTAAAAGTTGCTAAAAAAAACTAATTCATAGAGCTAAAAAGATATCTAAAAAAATAATTCATAACCCAAAAAGACAGCTAAAAAACTAATTCATACAGCTAAAAAGACAGCTAAAAAACTACAGTAAGACTAGTTGAATTGATTATGCCTATTAGCAGTGAAAGCAGACAGCAGTGTCATCAGGACCACAGCCGTCGTGGTACCAGTTGAGACATTCTGGGCATTGCTGCCAGTCATCAATGAGTGGTTCGTTAAATCTTTTACCACACATGCAACATGGCGTATCATCACTGTTAGTAACAGAACCTACACATCTTCGTTCTTTTGACCCTTTTCTTATCATGTTAGCATTCGATGCGTTACTTTTGATTGTCCTTTTTGATTTTGTTCTTGCATATTGCTTCCTTTTCCTGGTTTCTTTGTCATCTTCACTTTTCGTTCTCTTGGATTTGTCTGCGATTACATCGATTTCGTCTTCATCATTTTCCTCATTATTATTTTCAACTACTACTTGCTTGTTCTGTTTTGTCTTCTTTGCATTTGCTTCAATTAACATTGCTTTATAAGGACTAGAAGTTATTACAGTTGCTGCTTCGTTTTTTCGTTTGCGACTGCGTACATTCTTTATCCTTGGAATAGGGCTTAGTTCTGATATAATCTGCAATGCTTCGGATAAACCAGGATGATCAGCTGTTTTATCTAGTTGATTTTCATCGGACTCATTGCTATCTCCTGTTGCAATCCTATTAGTCTCCATCACATTAACCGATGCTTCATCATCCACTGCATTGCCGGCTTCTTCATTTGTATTCATAGGTTCACTTGTTTCGTTTCTAGCTAATAATGCTCTTTCCATCATTTGGATGTGTTTAACAAGATCTTGTTCAATTTCAATAGAAAAAGTATTCACATGATTTCCTAATTTATTGCTCCCAACTTGTCTTACTTTGCCCTGCAAATGCCTTCTCAATGTCTTCCTTGAAACTCCAAAACTGTTTTCAGCTTTACGCAAAGACATATCATTTTTTACTGAATCTAAAGCCCGTTGTAAACCTTCTGCTCCTTAACTTCCTCTTTTTGTCTTCCTTTTGTAATTTCTAACCATATCTATAAATAAAATAAAGTTAAAATTTGAACATTCTACTTAAATAATGCAAGGGGTAAAAAGCTCAGGATGGGCCTTTTGCCCCATTAACAAACTGGGCTTTTTGCCCCAAAATGGTCGATGCAAAAATTGATAAAAACATATTATTCTATGGTACAATGAACGTTATGTAAATAATCAATACATAATTTGTACGCTTACAAATACATAAACTCATTTAAATAATCAACTAAGTTTAACAATAATCTACAAAAAAATTTTAAAATTATGCAAAAAATATAAATGTCCTATTCTTATTACCTGTCAAGTCTTCAATATTCTGTTAAAAATTATATTTCTACTAAAAGTTCACCAAAATTCACTCGCAACACTGTTACACATTTATCATTCATACTACAAAACAATAATTATAATATTTTACCTAGGTTCTTTATAACTGCAGGATGGGCGTTTTACCCCACCTGGGCCTCTTGCCCCACCCTACCCTATAGTTTTGGATTGTAGTGAAATGATTTGCTGATATAACAGGAATTACACCCTGCAAATACAAATGAATAATTTAAAATCTATAAAACATATGATTCAAAATCTGTAATAAATTGATATTTAATCAAAATTAGAAATTTAGAAAGAGATGAATACTAAATTGATGTAAATAATGCTTATTATAAAACCATTTACATTGATTAATTTCCAAGAACACATTGATTAATTTCCAAGAAAAAAAAAATTTTCCTTTTTTTATCCTTTTTAATTGTAAATAAAATTGAGTTGTTTCTCATTGATTTCTTCTTTTTTCAGAGTCTTCTGTTAGAAATGAAATAAAAGCACCATCAACATATTGTTTTTAAAACACTCACTTACCAAACTAGGATAGTGGCAACATCATCTGTTTGCTTAAAAGCCTGTCCTTAAAAGAAAAGTACGTTTGCAAAACTGAATAAAAAGTTTTTTTTATTCAATTTTGTTAACATCACTGTTTAAATTGAATTATTAGCAATAAATTGCCGATGTCTCATAAGAGTATGTTAAGGTATATAAGTTTGCAATACTGATATAGAAAGGTACTGAATAACTTTCATAGAGGTTGCCTAATTCATCTTCAACAATGAACTCTTTGTATAGAACTCAGAGGGTATTAAAACTCAATCAATTGGACTAAAATGTTTGATTTTAAGGACACAATTTATGCATGTTAATAAAGACTATAGATACAAGCAGGAGGTTAACCAGAAAGATATAGTTTTTCATCACAAACTATATCATCATAGATTGCATTAGCAAAAAAATAACTTTTTTTTTAATTTCTTTAAAACATTCTGAAAATACATTTTCTCACTAGAAGTTACATTTACTAGTACTTTAAACATATCTATATATATATATATATATATATATATATATATATATATATATTATATATATATATATATATATATATATATATATATATATATATATATATATATATATATATATATATATATATATATACAATATTGTATATATATATTATAAAAGAGGGGAAATGTATATATATTATATATGAAAAAAAGAGGGGAAAAAAATGGTTTCCATGATAATTTTCAATTTTTGAATTTTAATACATATATATGTATATATATATATATATATATATATAAAGTGTATAAAATATATATATATATATATATATATATATATATATATATATATATATATATATATATATATATATATATATATATATATATATATATAATTTAAATTAAAAAAATACAACTTTTTATGGAACTATTATTATCATGCCTTTCGGCAATCATTCAGCCATATTATTCAAAATTTACAAAATAAAAAACCATTAAAAAATACAATTTTTTAGCGTTGCAATGGTATCTAATGTCAAGTTTACATCAGACAATATCATGAGTTCCTAATCTTCGGTATCGAATTGTGAAAGCAGAAATTTTTTTCTATGCCTGCAAGAAGAAACCAACTCACTTTTTTTATTAGGTAATGATATTTGATCATAAGTCATAATTAAATATTTTTTATATAAACAAAGATTACATCTTTTAGTTGATGGATTATATGATTGACATTTTTTAATAATGTTCCACTTGATTAAAGGCGTAATATCTGCATTTTTATGTTTCCATATTTCTTTAGAAAGTTCTGTATTGTTTTCGTATCTAGTAGCGTTAAATGATTTTAAATGGTTTGCAAACCTAAGCTTGAATGAGCCTTCACTGATACCAATATATGATTTTTCGGAATTACAAGGGTTAGCTAAAGATATAGTGGCTTATAAAAAAGTGTCCTATTTTGGACACTTGCTGAAAAAAAAAAAGCTGAAAAGCAAAGTAAATTTTCATTAATCACACATTTTGATGGAAAATTTTTACAGGATATTACTAACAATACAAAATAAAAAAAGGTTTTTTTGCTGTTTTTCCAAAAATCAATACTGATTTAAAGCTTCTTGGCATTCTGCCAATGGATAACGGTATTAAAAAATCTCATCATCATACTTTAGTAACATTTATGATGAATATTTAATATAATATAAGCTAAGAATTTGTATAAAGAGTCTGTGTTTTGACACAAAGTTTTCCAAGCTAATCGGAATGCAACAAAAGAAACTATAGATAAATCAAAGTTTAACAAGTTTGACAAAGTTGCAGTTAAAGAAGCGTATATAGAGAAACAGATTAAAAAAACTGTTTATCTTTGCAAATATACACTTTAGTTAGCCAATTTAGTATTTCAAAGAGGTGATAATAAAGAGTAGAAATTAAACTCACCTACTTATGTCCAAATGAAACTTTAATATTTATACTCCTGGACCAGTTTTCCATACAAGTCTATATATTATCTTAAAATTCAAGTTTTAAGTAATCAGTTGACCTACCAATTGACAGCTTGTTTACAAAAAGAAATCAGTAAAATGGCAGAATTTATTTCTATATTTTGTACTGTGTTGTTTGTGCACTCCTCTTTAGTTTCCTCTTCACCTCTTTCAAGATATAAAAGCATACTGTCAGATGGTCCAAAAGTTGAGTAAAATCTTATGATCCAGGAGCTAATGATATACTAGAGGGAATTGAAGAAATATTGAAATCAATGGAGAGACATACGTGATATTTGGATCAAACCTTGATTCCATTATGTCTTCCAGATAAAGAACTTGAAGATAATGAGAAAGAAAAAGTTGTAAAAGTTCTTTTCTAACAACCTGTACCTACGCACTAT